CACACACACACACACACACACACACAAACATATGTATAAAGTGAATCAAATTACCATTGCATTCTGGTGGGTCACTCCAGATGCCTTTTGCCAAACATAGGCGAACGTTATTTTGGGAATTCAGAATATAACCAAAAGCACAGTGATATATTGCCAAGGAGCCCATCTTAGTGGAGTTAAATGCTAACTGAGCATGTTTCACTTCAGTGGGGATTCCACAGTCAATCTCTAAAGTAAAAAGAGAGAGAGGGAGGGAGGGAGGAAGGGAGGGAGAGAAAGCGAGGGAGGGAGGAAGAGGGGTGGTTATAGCAGAAGATAAAAAAGCAATGAGTGCCATTATAGTCTTTGACTTGCATAACTAAAGACTTCACAGCAACGAGCCTTTTGGGTGTAAATATAAAGGCACATTCATGTGCGTGAGTGCAGTGTTATTTTAGAAAAGGTATTTTATTATAGCTTGCCATCAGGCAGGCTTTCAGCTATTGGCATCCAAAAGAATGCAACCATACCTGCATGTTTATTTAAAGAATGTTGTGAATGCAAGTTTTGGCATAACTTCTAATCAATATGGATACAAACTTTAGTTCCCTAGTCTCTGAGGGAAAAGAAAATTGTTTGCAAAGCTCTGGGCTGTGAATTCCAGCATGCCTTACCTTAGCTGTGTTGCCAGATTTTAAACACTCCACCCCCACTGTAATTAAAAAAAGTGTGAAGTAGAATATTCCAGAACACTGGTATTTCTATTTTTTTTTATTAAAAAAACCAACGTTTTTGTTTAATAAAAATGTAGGCACTGCCCTCTTTCCTGGCACAGATGAATCTCATGGTGACAGTTATTATCTTTTCCAAGAAAGAAACATCTTCTCTAGGGTGTATTATGCTTTTCTAATGTTACCTGATTGGCAGTGTCTTCCTGTGTAACCTGCAGAGCATATGCAGACATAGCTGTTGCCAAAATCCTCACAAGTGGCCCCATTTTTGCATGGATGCCGGAAACAAGGAGAAGGAGCTGCAAAACAGATTCCATTCAGCATAGTTCAAATGGTTCCATTCCCAGCTTACAAAAGGTTCTATGTAGCACTTTAACACCAGATATTACTAATATAATTACTAATACAATACATTGGAGGTTAGATGGAGGCTCCTGTCTGTTGAAACATTTTCTCAATGCAAGAAAAAACGTCAGACTTGCCTGGGCATCTCAGGGCATGAAATAAGGAAAGGAAGGGCTGGCTGGTAAAGAGGCATTTATATGATCCTACCTAATAATATCATATGACCATTGGAAATATCACAGACAAATCTGCAAACAAATATGTATCATTTAGGTAGTTCTTGTTATTATTACATTTATAGTCCCTTTTTCTTTAATGGCTCAATATGCTGTACATGGCGAGACTTTATCCTATTACAATAATACTATGAAGGACTGGGTTAAGTCACCCGATGAGTTCTACCATCAAGTGTAGATTTTCATTTGGCTCCTCTGGTCTCAGGCCAGCACCTTAAACATTAATATAGTTTAGTCCTTCAAATCTGCAAATCAAAGCAGTAATTTAAAATTTCCTGGAATATAAGTTGATATATATCATTAAATTAAATCATTTTTACAGTCTTGGAAGTATAATGACTTTTTTGTCACTTGGCTCTTATGAAGTAGACCTAATATCGTTTTTTCACTCTTCACCTGTTTTTATTTTGTCTTCCATCATATTTCGTCTGTTCAAGCAAAAAGCTATCAAGTTATTTTGTACTAAACAGATATAAGGTGGGTAGAGTCTTGGAAGTACCAATCAAGTTCCAATGAAAGACTACTCAGAACATATATCCAGTTGAATTTAATGGGACAAAAGACCCAAAATGTATGTATATGGCTGAAAACCTCTTGTGCGCCTTTCACGAAGATAATGATCATGACACTGAGGATGAAAGAATCAATAACATAGTAGAACAGAACAAGATAGAATATTAATGACCTTTTTGGAAAAAGTGAACTTTTTTTAAATGGGATCCAGGTTGTTTGAGGGATATAAGATGCAAAGATTAAGGCCCACAAATTATCTTAAAAGCATACTCAGAGGTGAACACTGTTACACAGTTAGCCAAGCTTCAACTTGTTCTATATCTTGACTCTCTTCGATGCAGATGTCATTAATTTTATTAAAGAGGTTAATCACCTATAGTAGGTAAGAATTGTTCAACTATATCTTTGCAGTTTTACACAAGCAGCATGAAAGCTAATGGAGCATTTGAACAAAATCTTTCCCTGACTTTTTCATCTGCTTTTATTTAATGTAACTTTCAGGGGATTAGGATAAGGATGGAAATTGTATTGTCTTTCAAATATGAACTCCTAGAAGCCAAAAATGAAGGATGTTGGGAACTGTAGTTCAGCAACAACAGAAGGGATGTACTCTGTCCTCTGGATTAAGAAATAAATGGTTATTCAAAGGCTTATCACATTTTTCTAACAATTACAATAAATGCCATTTTAAACTATCTTCTTACTGTTGATACTGAGCTGTGGTAGCGCGGTGGTTAGAGTGCAGTATTGCAGGCTATTTCTGCTGCCTGCTGCCTGCCTGCAATTTGGCAGTTCAAACCTTACCAGACTCAAGGCTAACTCAGCCTTCCATCCTTCTGAGGTGGGTAAAATGAGGACCCAAATTGTTGGGGTCAATATGCTGACTCTGTAAACTGCTTAGAGAGGGCTGTAAAGCAGTATATAAGTCTAAGTGCTATTGTTATCATTATTTTAAATACTAATGCAAAGTGGGTACTTCCCTAGCTTTATTCTTTGGGGATAGAAACAACTGCTGCTTATTGAGTGAAGTACCCAACCACAAACCTCTTGCGCAGCCCAAAGGCTACACACAAAGTCTTTGGATTCACAATTATGTTCCAATAGGAAAAGATCCCTCCTGTGTCAATACCTGTTTCACAGTGCCGTCCAGTGTATCCAGGCAGGCAGTCACATTTGTACTTGCCAATGTAATGGAAACAGGTGCCCCCATTATGACAAGGCCCTGAGGTACAAGGATCAGGTTTACCTATAAGAACAAAAGATTTAAGTCACAGACTATACCATTGCAAAGCATTTCAAGGGGACAAAATGGTATGTCACTGAGTACCTATCTCGCAGTGTTTCCCTGTAAAGCGGTAGGGACAGGTGCAGTGGTATTCCCCATCTGATTCCTTACAGGTCCCTCCATTGCGGCAGGGTCCAGAGCTGCATAATTTGGGTCTTTCTGGCAAGAGAAAAGTAATAATACTTGCAATATATCCTTTATAAATAAACCCTCCACCCTATGCAAATGGGATGCTTGCCTAGTCCTTGTATCACATTAAACCAATTCCTAAACTTCCACCAACCAATCCACAGATACGGATTATGAATAAATTAAAGATAGAAAACCAAATACTTTGCAAAAAACTACTTCTGCTCTGAATAACATTCACAAATATTGCTAAGCCAAGCTTTGTTTTAAGAATGGTTTGTTGAACAAGCTGGCATTAGACAAAAAGGAGAAGGGAAAAGTCTCATGGAGCACGTGGGGATGCTTAGTTAATAACTGTCTGCAACTTCTTAAAGGGATGGAGTCTTGTGTGACTGTCTGCTGACCCCAGGAAAAGAAATGCTTGATTTAAGGAGTTGCCAGCAGTACTCTGCATGTTCCCATGAATACTCCAAATTATCCTCAATATAGATCATCCACATAAAATCATATTGCCCCCGCTTCCAAATAAACACCTCCCAGTCAATTTGAGAAATTCTTGGAGTTGAAGTCCACATATCCTAAAGTTGCCAAGGTTGAGAAAGACTAACCTGATAATTCTTTCTTAGATAAGATGTTAAGACACACCAAACTCTAAAATGTAATACTTTCTAAAGGCCAATTTGATACAGATATACTAAGGATCCTATAATGAATGTTCTAACAAGAGAATACTTCTTCAGTGGTCTCACCCAACTTTGGATGGTCATAGAATGAACCCAGTGGTGGGATTCAAATAATTTAACAACCGGTTCTCTGCCCTAATGATTTCTTCCAACAACCAGGTCACCAAACTGCTCAGAAACTTAACAACTGGTTCTCCCGAAGTGATGCAAACTGCTTGAATCCCACCACTGGATGAACCATACACTAGTTCAGTCATATGAGAGAAAAAACACCAATCCTTGCAATCAGTTTCTCACCCAATCCTGTTCTGGGTGAAAAGGTTGTCTCTCATCAAAGCAGGTTTGAGAATGTAGATTCTGTTCAATCACCTCTGTGTTGTCAAGTACCTTTCTCACAATATTTTCCAGTGAAGCCTCGGGGACAGTCACAGGTGTAGGAGTCTTCATGAGCATCACAAGATCCACCGTTCAGGCAGGGCTCTGAGTCACATGGAGAGGGTGGCTCAGCTGCAAAAGCAGACATGGCCTCACATGGGCTGATGCTAAATGAAAAATCCACCTGCCCCATGGAGACGAGCTCAATTAAATGACATGGAAAAACAGGACACATCTCTTTGAATTCCGATGCCCACGGGTATTCTAGGCACAGGAGTGTCAAACTGGTGGCCCATGGGCTGGATGCGTCATGCACAGGTCACGCCCACCCCAGCTCCGTGAAGGGGAAAAACATTGCAAAACATCACGTGATGGCAACGTGACGTGGTGAGTTTGACATCCATGTTCCAGGCCATGCATTGATCTGGGATTGCAGACACAGGAATGGCATCATCTTAAATATCCACAGGTTCAAGATGGAGGCGTGGTTGGGTATTTTGCAATATTCTAAAACGTGATGGCTAACTCTTTTTCCCATATTGCATGGCTGAGAAAAAAAGCGCCCCATTCTCCAATGTTAAAGTTTACTTTAAAGGAACCGATGCCAAGAAAATGTCAGGAGGATTGTGTTTTGAAAGATATAGCAGGTTCTCCTTCTTATTATTCACCAACTTAACAGCCCACTTGATATTCTCACCAATTTTACATCATTTACAAGAGAAAGTATAATTTGCATGAGCAGCATAAACAACAAGATGATACAAATCATTTGCATATTATTTTCCCACATTACCATGTCACTTGCATGTTCCTTATATATTACATTGCATTTCTCAAGATTGTATTTCTCTCTCCTTCATTTTTAAATCTATCTCTTAGCCTTCACTAACCAGGCTTATTCCCGATTGCAATCATTACATGAAATTCTCCTCTTTTCCCCATCATGGTTCTTATAATCAAGACACACTCTAATCCTCTGAACCTTTTTTTACTTACTGTGATTAGTGCCGTAATCTGTATGGCACACGCAGAGGTAACTGCCACCATACTCCATACAATAACCCCCATCAGGACACTGGGTGTTCATATTGCAAGGTGTAGTAGTCACTTCTGCAATAGATCAAAAGCACATATAGGGTGATTTCCTATTACACACTGAGCACACTACAGATGGGCTTTATAATGATGAGAAATGTCACCCATTAGACTCAGCAGGATCAATTATCCAGCTCAGGGAAAAAAATATCTACTTTACTTACAAAGGAAGGAGATATAGGACACACAAGAGAAGAAGCAGTGCTGCATGGCATAAAATCATCTTCCCTAGACTAACATTTCAGCTTAGTTAGATTATTAGTCACTGGCTGGATCTGTAGTCCAAAAGAACTGGAGGGTATCAGCTATAGATACAGGTTCACATCATTACTCGTGGCCAACACAAATCTGGACTGTTAGCTTGGTTCTTGGTGCTTTCAGTGATCATATGCCAGGGAGTGGCTCTGAAGGAATCAAAACATTGGTTGGGCAGTTATGTAAAAACAATTTTTCTGCCCATGTTCACAAATGGAAATGTCAGTCAGAAGTTTAGGCAAGACAGCTGAGGTGGGATCAACATGAAATCATCAGATCACTAAACAAAGGCAAACAATAGGATTTAAATGGGCAACTAGTATAGTATATTTCATGCCCAGAGCAGTTTTGCTTGAATGGAGAAGTATTGAAAAGCTATAGACCCCTAATTCATCAATGAAGAAAATTAGGTAGCCTTGAACTAGGCAATCCATAATCAAATCCACTATGGATATATATGTGGATAAAGTAGGAGTTTGAATGTGTAGAGAAATCATGCATGCTACCTTGTATGCCATAATAGGATATTAAGAATCAGAATGTAATTAATTACAAAGTTAGATAATTTCAGGCCATCCTAAGTGGCAAATCTTCCAACACATCTGACATGGTTGTTGTGGAAAAATTAGGAAGCAGAAATATTAGCTAGGTTTGCTACCTTGAATATGAACACGTGTTATGTGTTTATATATTTATATAAAGTGCCATTGATGCAGTATGATTGCATTATATTATATTCTAGGAATTTCTAGAGAGGTAATCTTTCACAACACAAAAAATTGAATTCAATAATACCTTAAAGACTCACCAGATGATTATAATGTAAGATGTCATGATTCAGAACTGATCCATTAAAATTTGCATAGAAGTAAATGGATTATACTTTAAGGTACCACAGTATACTCTGTCACCTTACCACATATGCAGCAAGAATCTAAAGAGGATAATAAAAGGTTTGCATAGATCAGAAAAACTTTCTTTTACCAAATTCGCAGAGAAGCCCAAAATATCCAGGTGGGCAATGGCACACAGTGATATTTCCATCCAGGCACTTCCCTCCATTTCGACACTCGCAGTCATCTGAGACTTCTGCAAAAATTTGAGGGAGGGAAGAAGAATGTTGAGGAGGACAAATTAGACTCATCTAATTTGCCAGCAAATCTGAGGCCTACATTAGTCTACTTCCAGTAACCAAAGCAGGATGATGCAGCCTGATGTGAGGAAATATCAGAATTAGAGCTGGTTATGTATCTTATGAAGAACTTTTACTTCCTTTTGTTGTACATCCATTATTTTCTTTAATTAATATCCAAGCAATGGAAAATCACAAACCAACTGTACTCCCCAAAGGAGTAATCACATTTTACCTATTAAATACTCCCTTGTGGTGGTATCTGTCCTTGGTTCAACAACTCTAATGAGCCTTATTGCTTTTTTTTTTAATACAGCAGGCACTGACTATTCTCTTCCTAGAAGACGGTATGAGCCAGTAATTAGTGCCTGTAAGCTTAAGAGTGGGAAAAGCTTAATGAAAATAAATGAGGTCAACAGGAGATACAGTGGGAGCATGAAAAAAAACAGTCCTCCAGAAACTGGAGACAAAAATGGCCCTGGATAATAGGCATTAAAATAAGAATTAGCAACACATGATGGGAACTGATTCTGTTCTCTATGTCAGTGTTTCCCAACCTTGGCAACTTGAGGATGTCCGGACTTCAACTCCCAGAATTCCCCAGCCAGCCAGCTGGCTGGGGAATGCTGGGAGTTGAAGTCCGGACATCCTCAAGTTGCCAAGGTTGGGAAACACTGCTCTATGTAACACGGACAGCTAGCCCTATGTAGTGCTGAAAGCCCTTATTTTACATCAGCCTTATTTTACATCCCTTCAACTGTAGCACCAATTTTAATATGTCTGTTGCTGAAAATCAATGATACAATTTCCTAACATTTTTAGGCAGAAATACCGGTGGTGGTGAAAATGTAAGGCTTAAAACAGACTTTATATAGTTAAAGAAAATTTTTGAATTCCACCCAAATAAAAAAACAATGAAATGTTAAAATCCTGCTTACAATCTTTTACTGCATGCCTGACCCTATCTGAGGCTTCGTTACAAAAAAATTGATGGAATTCTTTGAATCAACATTTCTCGATCTGAGCAACTTTTAAGACTTGTGGACTTTAAGTCCCAGAATTCTCCAACCAGCATGCTGACTGGGGAATTCTGGGAATTAAAGTCCACAGGTCTTAAAGTCACTTAGTTTAAGAAACACTGGTCTAAATGAGAGCAATATACTGATTATTCAAAGATCAAAGTTTCTTCTGGTTTTATGCTGTGCTAACATTTGGCTTTTAATCCCCCATTTGAAATGATGAATACCCTAAACCTACAAGTCTTTTGACATAAATTTGACATCAGTAAAACATTATAAACCTCTTTATTCTGAAAATTCTGAGAGCAGAGTTCAAGTAAGGAGGTATGATGGCCATGACACACACTTAAAATAGTAGCTACTGCACCATACATCACTATCTTCCATGTTACCAATACAACCACATGCAAATGGAGACATCAATTCCATTATTAGTTTACTAACTATGTCAATATTTTCCTTTGCAAATTCCTGATAGGATCTTATTATTACTGATAAATCTAAAACAACTGGGAATTTAATAAATTGTAATAGAGAAAGTATTAATAGTAATTTTTCCAGAGCTAGAATTTGCATAGATACAATTACTTTGAAAAAGAAAACTAATGAAGAACAATTAATTTTCTTCAAACTACCCACCCAGACTGCAGTGTTCCACTGCTAATTTGGAAATAAATGTATACAGGCATGAAACTCAAAGAGAGCACAAACATTTTGTTTAGTGTGGTTGACTCTGATACTTACTATCTCTGCAGTCAGTGCCTGCATATCCTTCTGCACATTCACAAACATAACCTTGACTGCTTTCAAGACATGTGCCCTCATTCTGGCATGGATTGGAGCTACAGGCATTAGACATTCTAGGGCCACCTAAAAAACATCAGTGAAGGACTCATAAACATATATAAAGAGAGATACATTTCTGTAGCACAAAAAAGAATATTAGAACATTTGTTCAGTATCAAAAATAGAAGCTGGTCTTTATCTATAAAGGCCTACATGACAACGGGCCTGATTACTTTTGGGACCACCTATCTCTCATAGTATCCACCCAACCAATCCCATCTTACAGGGTCGACGTGCTTCATCTTCTTTCAATTAAACAATGCCATCGATCAGGACTACTGAAATAGTTGTATTTTGTGAGATGGATGGCTGAGTACTGTAAAATAAATAAATAAATTTGGTAAATAAATAAAAGTGCTCTGCTTTAGCACCTGGCTCCTTGCTGGTATTATGCACAATCTTGAAGACATTGCTCTTCATCTTGGCTTTTGGCAAGAGTGATTGGAGTGCCCTTCAGGGCAATATGGGTTTCTTGGTTGTTGCCTGGTTTCTGCCATATTTTCTTCTTTGCTTTTATTACTGTGTTATTTTATTGTTCTGTATATGATTATCTGGGAATCACTCAGTAGGAGTGTATAAACATTTCTTTATTTAAATATATACTCTTCCTTCTCTTGATATTCTACAGGGAGGACACATGCGAAGTAAACACAGATGACTTTAGAAAACCTAGCATCCCCAAAGTGTAGGCTGTCAAGTTAAGAGGCAGTTCCTATATGTCCAGTTTTATATATCAACACTTTTTTTTACCACCACATAGATATTAGGAGGACCTAATATGAAGGTGCAAAAAATCTGGTCACTTGTGGGCTTTGCTTTACTAAGGATAAGATCATGGATGGGAAGTTCTGCCCAAGAGGCTGATTCTATATCTTCTTAACAAGGGCTACCTCAAATAATTTGGCCACGAGGCTAAAAATATCTGAAATTAATCTAGTTTGATACCAAGAATTTTCATTTCACAATCAACAGAATACAGATAAGTCTGTATTTTGATAAGAATACAGAATACATATAACCACAATTTTGACCATGGTACAAAGTTCATAATTAAGCAGCACGGTTGTTGAGGCATCACATGAACTGCACCCAATTTTAAGACATTTTTTGACATGATGGTTAAATGATCACCATGATTGTTAAGCAAGACATCATGTGATTGTGATTTGTGACCTTCCCTGCCAGCTTTCCTATTGATTTTGTTTTTGCAGTGCTGTCACAACTTTGAACCATCGTTAAAGAAGTGGTTGTTAAGTCGAGAACTACCTGTTCAACAATTTGAAGATCAAACATAACCAGCCGCTGGATTTAAAAAGTTAGTGGAGAGCATTCTGCGTGAGCAAGATGTACAGGGGCAGTGTTGAACTACACATTTCTCCCTTTAGAGAAAACAGACAAATATACTCACCATATTGGCAATTGTTCCCATAGTAGCCTGGTGAGCATGTACAGACATAGCGCCCTGGGCGAATATAGTTGCACATCTGCCGATTCCTGCAGTTTCTGCCCTCACAGGTTGAAGGATCTAGAATGAAGAGGAGGGAGCCTCAGTATAGATCAATGAAGCTGAATAATTGAAGATAACACATACAAGGATGGCTCTAAGGCGAGGGCCTGAAAGTAGCAAAGAAAGAGAAAGAACAATAAAGACTAGCTTTATAGGAAGAAGGATGCCACCATGCAGTTATAAAATCAGGCACCTATTTCACAATGCTGTCCAGTAAAAGGTGTTGCGCAGGAACAAGTAAAGTTGTTGACAAGATCCATACATTGCCCACCATTCAGACACGGGCTGGACTCACATTCATTTATTTCTGCAGAGAAAAGAAAGAGAATAAAAACATGAAGTCTGAAATGAAATTATAGTGTTCGTTTTGTATAAAACTATACTGCTCAAGCACTATAAGATCTGTTATTCATAAACAGGGAATTAACTGATTAAATCAACAGAAGTACTTATTAACATAGAACAGAAACAAACAATGCAACAGCTATGAGATGAGCAGGAGATTAAATGGTGATTACATTAGATGCACATGCTTATTTTTGGCTCACCTATTTCACAGTCTTCTCCAGTATAACCTGGCTGACAAAGGCAGACAGCTGTTGTGTTTGTTATTTGGCACTCCCCACCATTCTGGCATTCTTTGGTTTTACATGGAGACTCCTCTATTATATTTCAACAATAACAAGAACAACAAAAGGAAAATTAAATTATGACGTTGCAATATTTTTTTCACTGACAAAACCATACAAACTATAGAATCTCTCAGCTTCTGAATATACACACAGCCCAGCTATTGAAATAAGCACTATTTCTTGTTTAATGGAAGATAAATAGATTGTAATGAAGATTATATGGAAGGGAAATATGAAAAGTTTCATGGTCGCCATATCTATCTATCTTATCTGGGGCACATGATTCCATTTCATCTCTTTGGTTATCCTAGCTGGGCATTCTGAGAAGTGTAATCGAACACCTCTGAAGATACCCTGTCAGTAAAGCACATTCTTTCCTAAAATTAAAGTAATTGCCACAAAGAAGTTCTGCTATGACTGTTACGTATGTGTCTAATTAATCTGCTTTCTGCTCGAGCAAAAACTCAGGGCAGCTAAAAAAAATTAAAGCACAAAAAATTAAATGCTAACTACTATTAATAGTAAAGTCATAATCACATTTTCTCCTTAGATTTGTTATTGGATTGTGTCTTTGCTCTTACACAATATTTCTCACCAATTTCACATGTAGCTCCTTTAAATCCTGGTGGACACCAACAGCTGAAGCTGTTGATGCCACTGATACAAGATGCTTTATTATGACATGGATTGGAAGCACACTCATCCACATCTGAAAAACAAAATAAGAGGTGCTATGGATTAGGATTTGTTCAGATACTCAATTCCTCTTTCCCCAGGAAGAAAAATAATAATCTATAGATCTATAGATTTAGATTATCTAAAATAAAATAAGTAGCTGTATAAGGTCTAATTTGTTGCTGGAATAGTATAGTTGCTTCGTACAATTGTGCACAGCAGACAAGCAGGACTCACCAATTTGGCATTGTTTTCCAGTGAAACCAGCGAGACAAGAACAAGTATATGAAGGGTTCCCCGTGATGCAGTCCTCAATACATTTTCCTCCATTCAAGCAAGGACGAAGTGTCAAACATACTGAAGCTGCATGAAGAAATAAACCCAACTATTCAATAGCTGGAAGGATGCTCAGAGAGATGTTAGATGAGGTGGCAACAGAAGCATTAGACTAATCCAACTTCCTTTGTTTTTGTAGCTCAGGACTGTCAAACTCCCATGCCCACAGGCCGGATGCGTCATGCGCTAGCCACGCCCATGCCTGGTTTAGTGGAGGGGGGGAAAGTCCAAGTACATCACGTGACACCGCCTTGACGACTTAGATTACCAATGTGCAGAAGTATCACTTTTGTTTCAAAACCACACAATGTAATGTACTTCATCCACACTTAAATTGGATTGAAATTTACAATAAATAAATCTATTAAAAATTAGTTTAAATACAGAAAGTTGGTTTTCCTTGCTTCAGTTGTCCATGCCAGTACTTTTATTAATCTACGTAGGAGTTTTACAATCTTTTTGAAAATCTAAATAATAACATTAATATCCTCGATAGATCAATATTCAGCCTTTTATTAAGTAAACTTTTAGTAATCTATTAAACCATTTTTACAGAAAAATATTTTTGATCAATTCTATAATCTTCATGGCATCTCTTTGCCATTTGCTATATTGTAATATTTTTATGACAATCCCAAGAGTTAAGAACTACATTAATACCAACAAATTTCCTATTATTAAAGAATTTTGGCAACATAATATTTTTAACAGAATTATGTGTTCAAGGAAATAAAAGAAAAGCAGAGAAAATCAGTTACTAAATTTCTAGAATTGTTACATTTGGAAATCAGGGAGTGGAAGAAGAAAGAAGGAATAATAGTTTAGACAGCTCCAGAGATGCATATCTCGAAGATGAACAGATAAATTTAAATTAAGAAAAAGAAAAATTATTTAACTCTTAGAAACCAAAGATTGGTAAAATCTGAATACATGTTTTTATCTAGAAACCATGCAGACCCTGAAAAATTGATGGTCACAGATTGTGGGAGGTTTCAATTATTGAACAAACACTCAGCATTACAGGAGAATAATATCTGGCATGATGGGTAGCTTTTAGTGATAGTTTTAGCCAATCCCTGGGGAAGGTTTAATTTCACTTCCCATATGGATTTGCAAACATATCTACTAGTGACCTCAGAGCCTCACATATTAAACATTTTACAACTAAACCTGGGATAGAATCTAATGTATCCATCTGGATAGTTATACAGGGATTGCAACTTCCAGAATTCCAGCTATTAAGCTTGCAGAATAATCTGGGAACTGCAGTTTTATCAGATTCAGGACATCAGATTGGAGAAAACTGGCATACATCTGGGCCCATGTCCTATCAAACATGACTGAATTAATTTAAGAAAATCTTATGTATTTATACTTGTATGGAATTAATTTACAGTTTAAGAGTCTTTAGTCTTTTTCTAAATCAACAGCTTTGACACATAAGAACTAATGAGAAGACTTAAGTTGTAAACACCATGAACCTCAATAGATAATTGGGGGCAAATTTCTATCAGCCCAACAGGAGAGGAAAGCAACATAGATGCCACTTTTAGCTCATAGTTGAGATGAATGCCATGATATGAAGTGTAACAAGCAGAGTGTTAACTAAGAAGAAATTAGCTTTCCCTCATCTTCCAAATAATTCAGTGTTAAAATGAAGGAATCTAGGATTTACTTCAGAATATAGTAAAAGTAAGCATGGATGAATTTGTTCTCTCACTTTTGTTGGGGAAGATGGAGTTATCTTAATTTCAGGATCATCATCCTTTCATATAGAGACCTGCTTTTCTCAGAGGTATTCTGTTTATGTCTTATTTCTACCCAAGAAATAATTAAGTAGCTCTTAATCAGCCAGAAGAGATCTACAGCCACCAAGGGATTCAGTCTGAGTAGCACAGCCATATCCCCCAAATTTATAACTTGCACAGTTTCAGCATCAGTACATCCCATATCTTGCTAACCATATTTATTATACTGCATTAATATATCAACTCAGTAAAGTATTCAAAAGTTTATGTGCCACTCACAACTGCTCCTATTGCATGGCTGCAGCCCTTCATAGAACTTTCACAGGGACAAAGAGAAGGGCTGGAAGAATTGGTTTCATTAAATAAACCTAACTGCTGTCCTCTTACTTGTGTTGTTGCAGCCCCCCACTTGCACCTGGGCATCATCGATTCTGAATACCCAGCGCCCGGGGATACCCACATTTGTTGTCATCTCCACGTCGACAATGTCATCAGTGCGGGATCCGGGGATGTTAAAATACCGTTTTCCATCACCGGCATTGAAACCTGCCTAGAAGACAAGGGCAGAGACTGAAACCTCTTGCTGGGGAAAGCAGGGCAGCTGTGGGGAAATGCAAGGGACTTCTCTCTTCCACCAGGCCCAGTGCCCTGCAGAGGAATGGACTGCAAGAACATAAGGAAGGGAAGCATCCAATTTCCCTGAATGTTGTTTTGTGTTTCTGCTTCCCATCTAAATAGCCACTATTTTGCATAGGAGGCATGAGCAACTTCACAATACAACTCCTCTGATCCCTCAGTGGAGATAATAGTTTGCTCTTCTAGAAGTTTTCCTTTGACAAATTCCTTCCAAGGAGAAGTCCTGTAGTTCAGTGAAAAAAATCACAAGTTTTGTATATATGGAGCATCCTCTGACTCCACAGATTGGGCTGGGAAGTGGAAAGTCTGGAATCTTGAAATGCTGTTGCTAGTGTTAACAGAACTCAGCAAATGGGACCAATGAGCTCACTTGATATATGGCAGATTCATTTGTTCCTAGATTATCTTCACTTTCTGGACATCTTAAACATTCAATTCTCAGGGCATTAAATTCCGATGAAACATGTTGCCTGAACTTAGAGGTTTTTGGTCTGGTCAACGCCTAAATGGGAGACCCCATTGAAACCCTGCATACGTCAAGTTGACTCCACAGGGGAAAAAAGGGGATATGAGTGTAATAAATGTAGCCAGAATGTAGCTGTTTGAGTTTTCTTGTAAGCCAGGGGTCAGGACTCCTGGATAAGAACTCTTGACTAGGCAATCATACAGTCGTCAAGTTCATAAATGACTAAAACTGGTTCACAATTAGCAAACATTGTTGTGGGCCACCAACATCTGGAGGTTTACTTGCAAGTTTATGTTGAGGCAAACATTTCTTCTCCAGGACAACAATTTATTTGGACCCCTGTTCCAGCTGCTACAGGACAGACCAGTAGAAACTAAGCAGCATATATAGTCTAGAAGCCATCTCCTACTGTTTTGCATGTCATCTGTGATTAAAGACTTTGGCTACAACACATGATAACTGTCATCATTAAAAGGGAAAAAGGAGGTGGGAGGGGAAGAGGGAGTTCAGATGGTCTACTTGTGCAACTCTTTTCCCAAATGGCTTTTGGCACCAAAAGGCCCCAGCAATCCCCACTCATCCATGACTCACTAGCTGGAAAGTGCACAAAACGCTGAGCTTATTTTCATCCCCATTCATCTATAGAGGGTGACTCCAAGAGAATCTTGGACTCTCTTGCCGCTTTCCACAAAATGAGCACAGTTCTGTTAGCTCAAGCCAAGCAGCAGCCTCTGCCATGCTGAGCTGTGAGGTGCTTCTGCCGAGCCACTCTATCGTGTTGTGAATTACAGCAGCAAATTCTCACAAATTTGGTCAGAAGCCAGTGCCTGGTGAAAAACTTTTCAACTTCCTCTCTCTCCCACTTTGGCTGCGCTAAGGCAGGGTGTTCCTAAAGCATTGTACAGTATCCAAAGCATGTGGTTACTGCTCTGTTTACAGTCGTAAAAGTCTACACTCCTGAATTTCTGGGGCTGAAAAATGGATTAATTTCCTATACACCTGCAACTTCCTGCTTACTGGAGATAACTCAGATGACTGCCAGCAGCTGGCCAAGCATAGATCAATTAATGGTAAATCCACACATCCGAACAGCCGACTAAAAGAAAGAAAAAAACATATAGGATGAAATATAAATGCCAAGAGAAAGTTGTACTTGCTGCAGCCCTTGCTGGATGACTCTTTTTAAAAAGGTGGCTAGTGAAGGGAAGGAACTCAGAAGCACTGGCCAAAATAAAGAGCTGCAGTTTCCTTCACTAAAGGTCCTAGGTAGTCTTAGCTCTGAAGGGAAGGGAAAAATAAGATTATTATTTAAGAGGTTGAGGCTACGGATTATCTTGGTCATGATGACCATCCCAAGACAATCAATATCATCCTCAGCCATCTCCAAGAATGCATGGCGTGTATTAGAAAGGAGACTTGCTTGAATGTGATCATGTAATCTACCTGGGCTGCTATCCCTCCCAGGCCTGCTAAATTTCCTCCACTGCTGGCATGCATGCCAGTGGTCCAGGTTATTGACTCATAGTTGAAGATAGTGAAGGAAAGCAGGCCATCAGTGATGAGGACTATCTGGAAAGTATTTACCTGAAAGAAAGAAAAAACACACAGAGAGTATTAAGGCAGTAGGCAACATCCAGGAAGTTGCAACAATGGTTAATACTAAATTAAAACTTTTTCAAGGTCTCAAACAAAACATCTTGAGCCTTTTTGAGTCCTGAAGAGCTGCGTGGGCTGCATGAGAGGCAGAGTGCTTGGAGGAGCACTGATTCATGGCAAGAATAGCAATATCACTTATACACCGATTCGCAGTGCTTTTACAGCCCTCTCTAAGCGGTTTACACAGTCAGCATATTGCCCCCAACAATCTGGGTCCTCATTTTACCCACCTCAGAAGGATGGTAGACTGAGTCAACCGATCTTTGAACTTATTGAACTTTTTATTGTTATGCTATATTGCGTGCCCTAATTCCTATCTTTTTAAATAGTTTTAATTTATATTTTTTCCTTTCATTTATCAATGGAATGTGTATTGTATTTTATTCTCTGATCTCTCATACTATAGGAAAGATAGAATGCAGATGTCTGAAATGTAGGAAGATAATTCTCAATCATCCAGGTCACGATTGTCCCAAAGATGCTTTTGCAAAAAGCAACTGGAGTTCCTTAGTTTTTCCTTGATAAAAGTTTCGCTTCTTGTCCCAGAAGCTTCTTCTGGGATGAGAAGCAAAATGTTTTCAAGGAAAAAAACCAAGAAAGCCCAGCCGCCTTTTGGAAAAGCACCTTTGGGTCTGAAATGAAGATTGCTCTGCTGATAAGTCAACAATTTACTACAATTTCTAATAAAAGACATTGGAAATAAAAGGAATGGAAATAAAAAAAGAGAAATATAAGCTACTACAATTTCTGTTCTGCCCAAGCTTAATCACAATGGGGCAGGGAGGAAACTCTTCTATTCTTATTACCCATCAGTCAATATTCTGATCCTGACACTTACCGGAGAAAACAAGTTTCCTCCAAAGAAGGTAACCTTGTTCCAAGTTCCTATGAATACCCACTGGGCTGAGAATTCTGGGAATTCTGGGAAATACTGTGCGATATCCTTAGTGGCTCTCTCCAAAATAGCTTGGTCTGTGGTTTCCCGGTAAAACACTTGTCCTGAACGCCGGTTATCGACATCAGCCCAGAATGCGGCAACAACACGTCGGTCATTGGAAATGGGGAAAGCCACAGGGGTGAACTGGGATACCTCTTTCAAGAAGGAGATGATTCCATTGTTGTTTACCTAGGCGGGGGGGAAAAGCTAGATGTGATAAAAAATAAAATAAAATATACTCCGCTATTAGAGACTGGGAATAAAGCAAACTCCCTCGCCTTACTTGACCTTCCACCAGAAAGACAGCAGAAACCACAGAAATACAGTGCAATATAAGCCTCAGTGCTTGTTATAGAAACCGTATCTTGAAATTAAATATCTGTTCCTCCTGCCACACAAGTATGCCATTCATGCGCTAAGGGGGCCATGCATAAGCGCACCAGCGTTGCCTACGGTCCCTGTCCTAGTGTCCCATTTATATGTACTCTCATTATGTGTTTATGGCTATGTTTTGCTTATTTTTATCCATTTACTTGTGCTATTTTTTCATGTGTTTTTCCTACTTGTTCCCTTGTACTTGTTGACAAATTAAAATAAATAAATAAATACATTCTCCCAACTTTTAAACCAAAAGAAAATAGCCAGAGACCTGCTTCTGCCTTCAGATATTCCTCTAACCACACTCTCTGTTTGCCTCCTGCATAATAGGGTTGGGAAGCCATCGCCCAAGCATCTAAGAAGGCAGGCAGAACAAACCATACCCTGTTCTCTAACCGGAGATGGGCCAAAGGAAGGAGGAACAGCTGAGAAAACTGCAGCAGCCACAGTGATCTAAACAAACAAGGTGAAGTTCATTTGGGCCAGTCTCACCTTCAGATGCACTCAAACTTTGCATTTCCTCCCATGATTTAAAGAGGCAGAAAAGTATATTTTGAAGGTGCTCAAGGACAAACAGCATTTCTGAAGACAGGTGAGACTCTCTCTCTCTGCCAAAGGAGCATTTGCTGGAGTGAACTAAAAACAGACCCATGAAATCAAAAGGCAAACCACAGCTCCCATGTAGAAGCAAACACTTTATGGCCAGAGATGATTTATTCTGACACGCTATTATATTTCTTACTATTCTATACAGTTTCATACCCTTGATATACGTTGTTATAAACCAGATTTGTAGCAAAAGCAATTTCAAAAAAGAGAAAGTAGTATGACTTACGTATGGCATTCTACTAATATCACAATTATGATATTTATGTAAAGGAATTGAAATCTGTCATTCAGAAAATAAAATCACATCATAAACCCTCAGTGGAAGATACAGTAATGAAGAGGATTGTAATCTGTCTTATGCCATTGTAAAAAGTCTTTTTCCTTGAAAACACTCCTTACATGTACAGAAACAGCTTCATAGGGAAAAGACTATCTTACTCCCACACTTAAGTCTTCAGCCAGGAAGAGAGTTGCTGATATAAAGTAGCATTCAGGAAAAGTCTATAGAAGTTGAGTGGTACAGTGTACACACTATGTTATTTTCCAATGTTCGTAGCCTGGGTCAAATCAGATGGATTTTGCCAGTGGTGAAATTCAATTTTTTTTACTACTGGTTCTGTGGGTGACTCTTTGTGGGCGTGGCAGGGGAAGGCTACTGCAAAATCCCCATTTCCGCTCCACTCCTGGGGCCAGCCAGAGGTGGTATTTGCTACTCAAAATTTCCGCTACTGGTTCTCCAGAAGCTGTCAGAACCTGCTGAATTTCACCCCTGGGTTTTGCTCATGTCTCAATTCTCTGACTACCATAATTGAATTCTTCCAACAAAAATGAAGTTTCCTGTTCTTTATCCCTTCCTTACAATGCAACTTCTTACATGAAGTAGAGCAGAAACAATATTTCTTCACCACCTAAGAGCCTTTGAAGAACAGTTTTTGGAGGCCATAAACAAATGGAGTCAAACCTTGATTCTTTGGATTTCCATTATATAGACTTCGGTTACAATGGACAAAAAATCACTTTAGACTTTATTTGGGCAAAGTTCACTGTATTCAAAGTAATGTAGAAAGCTGATATATTAAATGAGATTCAAATTAAATTACATAACTTTCCTAATTTATTTATTTATTAAACCAATTTATATTATAAACCAACTCTGGGAGATATATATCAGAGCTAAAACAGTTAATAAATAGATTGAAAGGAATAAAAACCAAGCTAAAACAAAGAATACTAGACAAAGTGTTGTTAAAAATAGCGGAATCATCTCATTAGTTCACCTGTCTCCTAGAGTCCCCAGGTTTGCTAGCATAACCAAAACTTGAGAACCTCTGGAAGTTTAACAGTGACAAGGTAAACTTCACCTCAGGGGAGATAAATTCCATAGTGCAAGGACCACAGCAGAAAAGGCCCATCATCTAGGACCCATCAAATGTAGCTTTTTAGATGATGGAACAACAAACCCTCTCTGCTGGATCTGATAGGATGAGCCCATGCCATGAAATGTTTTTAAGGTCAACACCAGCACCTTGGACTAGGAAACAAACTGATAACCAACACAGCTCACAAAGCAGAGGTGTGACATTTGTTTTGTACCAGCTACAGTTTATAAATATATTGTTGAATTCTCAATGACCTGGGATAAGCCCTGAGCCACCTCAGATCCCACTCCCGGGAAAGGCAAATTGAGAAACCCCCCAAGATCACAGGTCTAGGGAACCCCATTGGCAACTTGGAGATGGAAGCAAGGAACTCAGGCATGGAGTTTGTTATATAGCAGTGAACCTGGTACAATGGCAACAGTCCTTAACTGATCCCTAAAGTCCAACTTAATTAGCAGGATGTCACATCTAGTGATTTCTGGAACAGCACTCCTGAAAGCTGTAAGTGATTCTCAGATGACAATTTCCATACCATTGTCTCTGCTTACCTTCTTGGCTGATGCCATACTCGTAACCTCACCAGGCACTTCTCTGAGAGGAAGAGGCCCCCTTTCAGACCCAGCCAGTTTGGTCATACATTCCAGATTACCCCTCTCATGAACAATCAAATCGCAGATGAAGAGTGGCTTATTATAAATCAACCTGACATTTAAGAGCCTGGATGGAAGCTATATGCTACATCAATGACCATTGTGGCATTTGCATCAATCTGCATCATCTGGAAAACTGATACAAATAATGTCAAGTATCAATTACATAATTATACAAATAATGAAACTTTGGTTGCCATGGACATTCATATATAATACAAACTCTTTCTCCACAAATGGTTTATATAATTGAAGTTTAACTACATACAGTACAGTCAACCTCCATGGAAGAGTGTCTTGCAGGCAGGGAGATGTACACACAAATGTGAAGGTCCAACCAGAGTAACTTAAGTAGCACATTTTTCATCTAGCAGCATTAGATAAAATTCTGTGTTATTAGACCTATAAGCCTGTTGGAGCAACTGCCAGCTTGTCTCTGTTTTCTGCAACTTCAGGTAGTGGTTAATACAGGGGTGTCAAACTCAATTTCATTGAGGGCCGCATCAAGGTTGTGTTTGATCTCAGGGGGCAGACGGGGTATGGCCAGGATGGGAGTGGCCAGCTCGATGTCACTCATTGAGGTTCTGTTTTCTGCTGTGAAAGCCTCCTGCAGCCCTCTGACAGCAAAAATGGAAGTTGAGAGTTGCAGGAGGCTGTCATTGCCAAAAATGGAGCCTAGGAGGGCCAAGCGCAGCCCTCCTCAGCTCCGTTTTTGCTGACAGATGCAACACGGCTGGTCCTTTCCTGTTTCCATGGTGGGCCCATGGGCCAGATCTAAGCACCCTGCAAGCCGGATCCAGTCTGTGGGCCTTGAGTTTGACACCCCTGGGTTAATATATCTACATGAAATGCTGGTTAAATAGGAATGAAAAAATAAAGCCAAATATTGCCTATGTCAGCCTACAGTCATATCCCTAATGCATCATACTTAACTTTAATAGCATTTGGATGTCAAATATCCATTGCAGT